TTTTAATGCACTTGTTAATATACAAAATAAAACAGGATTACATTTAGCTACAAAAATTAGATCACAACATATCAATTATACCAAAGAAAAATGCGTGTCCGGTTAGCTGTACAAACCTTCAGTAATAGTGTTGCAGATGCGATTGAATATTGTATGAATGATTTAAAACTACCCGAGTTTCAAGGAGCAGAAGCAACAGTTAAATTTTGCCGTTTAATGAATAATATATTTGATGTACTGAATACCAGGAATTTTTTAAGTAAAAACACATACAACAAACCTATTAATAAAAACAATAAACAATCAATTATACAATTCATGAATGAAGGAATAGTGTACATAGAAAAATTACAATGTCTTGATAATAAGTCAAATAATGAAGTAACTGTAAAATTATTATTACAATCAAATAGAAGAACAGGATTCGAAGGATTAATATTATGCCTTAAATCTTTAATAAATTTAACTTACGATCTTATTAATGGTGGTTACCTTAAATTTATTTTAAGCTACAAGTTCAGCCAAGACCATGTGGAGATTTTTTTTCTGCTATAAGAGCTAAAGGAGGCTTCAATAATAATCCGACGTTAACTCAGTTTGAAGCTGCATATAAAGCACTTCTAGTACATGCTGAAATCAAATCAAACACAAGTGCTAATTGTCTTGCACGAGATGGTACAAGTATACTAAAAATATCAATTTTAAAAAAAAAGTCACCAACCAAAGATCAAGATATGGTACTTGATTTATTATGTGCAGCTGGGAGTCAACATATTGTAAAAGATGAAGATGAACTATTAACAGTATACCAAAATTCCAATTATATTATAGATGTGGTGGGGTATATCGCTGGATTTGTGGAGAGATCCGTTTTGAAGCGTATTCAGTGTGAAGTTTGTGCTAATGAAATAAAATCAGATGAAACAAATTCACTATTACTGAATAAAAAAAATTGAGGTGGTCTTACAATGGCCAATGCTGATGTAGTTAGTATATGTCAGGTTGCAGAACGTACAGTCAGAGAATATTCCAAAAAATCTAACCACATAAGTATTGACTATTTGGTATTAAAATCAATATCAATGTTATGTACAGATAAATATTTTTTAAATTTAACAAACCACTTTATGGATCAAGAACTGCTCAATAACCATTTGATACAAATGATTAGGTTAATACTTAAAACATTTATAACCATAAGAATCCATCATATTAACACAACTTCAAATGAAATAGACCAAAGAGTAAGAAGGTTATTTACTAAACTAATCCACTTTAAACACCAGTGAAAAAATTACTGTAAGGAAATACTTTGTTTCAAAATATTATTGTATTGAGTTTAATTTTTAAGCAACTATCACTATTGTAAAATAAATTATTTGTTACACTTAGTTATTTGTTATGAAACTAAAAAATATATTGACTAAGTTTATAAAATGTTAATTTTTAAATAAACTATTATTAATAACTAAACAATAAAGCACCATTTTTACTTACTTTTGTGATAATATACATTATAATTTATAATAATATAATATAGCGTATAATATAATAATTATAGTGGTAGTAACTAGTAAGTAACTTAATCTTGAAATATTCACAGATTACAGACATACTAGATCAAAATATAATACTCCCCAAAACAATACAGGTATACAGAAATAGAACTACTTCAATAGTTCAATAATAATAATATTATGTAATGGCACGAAAATAAAATATTTCAAAGACTAATTAATATATTTTTGCTTATATCGTATTTGGTATTTCAAACATAGCCCTTTCTCTCTCGCACATATCTTTGATTCACGTATCTCTCTCTATGCGTGGTTTATTCTTTTATAGGTCTATGGTTCCAAACGACAAAATAATTTGTTATCACTGATAATGTGGCCAGTGGCCCCTGAATCAAGATACCAGATTATACTTCTCCTCTTTTTGTTCACTGAAGATTCAATCGATCCTTCTGATAAAGATGCAAGAAGTTCATACCATAGAGTAATATAGAGAGGCCGTTGGGTATATCGCCCATGTTAACTAATTGATGCACAAAATGTGGATATTTAACAGGGCCTTCGCTTTTGATAAAAAAAATATTGTACAAAATATTGTAAAACGTACCGCTTGTTAAATGTTATCAGCAATGTTATCATATAGTAATACTCTATAATGATTGCGACATTGCATCCGTTAACGATTACGAATTACGATCTATGAGTTATGACTGGTTTTACCACGATTAAACTATTCGGTTTACATTTTACGATTTTACGATTTTACGATTTCATTATTTTTTATGTTTGACTAGACGTGTTTTAAAGTAGTAATCCTCATAATGCCTAGTTGTCTTGTATGTGGAAGAACAGAGAATCTAAATTCTAAATCTGCTAATATATCTTTTCACAGGTATGGTTAAGACTTAAGATTTAAAAAATATATATCTAGACGTTTGAAAATATAGTGTAATGTTTGTTTCAGGTTTCCTACTAAAGATAATATTAGAGAAAAGTAGGATAATTTTTTAGTAGAAAACTATCTAAATCCAAAAGACGTGACCAAATATAGTGTAATTTGTTCATTACATTTTGAGAATTGTCTTGCACGAGATGGTACAAGTATACTAAAAATATCAAGTTTAAAAAAAAAGTCACCAACCAAAGATCAAGATATGGTACTTGATTTATTATGTGCAGCTGGGAGTCAACATATTGTAGAAGATGAAGATGAACTATTAACAGTATACCAAAATTCCAATTATATTATAGATGTGGTGGGGTATNAATATGCACCAAAAAATGGCCAAATATGCCCTAAAATATGCACCTAAAAATAACCGTATATGTACTAAGATATGGTCCCCCAAAAAATTAGGTATAACAAATATGTGGTAAAATTAAATATTTATTTTATTAGAATTTATATTATATATCAGAATGTTATTATTTGAATTTAAAATTATATAATTGTATTATTAATTATTTATTATTATTTTATAATTGTACTATAAATTGTCTGTGTCTTCCATGTCTTCTGATCCTAAAATAAAAATAAAATAATATTTAAATATTTAAATGATTTAATTCTTATTATTTTATTAATATCTTTACCTTTAAAATTACACTGCACAATTAGATATTTTCTGATGTTTTCAAACGTGAATCAACGACGATTACTTGACAGTAAATTTTTATACACAGAAAAACTTCTTTCTACATCTACAGACGACATTGGAGCATACATAAAATAAACCAGATCATTACTTGTCAAGTCTTCAGGCAATCCTTCCATATTTTCAACTTCGCCGCTTAAGATTTTTGAAATTTTTAATAAAGCTTTGTAACCAGGATTTTTTTCTAAAGCGTCATTTAACTTCTTTACGACTGCTTTTCCTTTTGTACATTTTAAGTCAACAATTTTATTTTTCGCATCTTCAACCGTTTTTAAAGAATCGGATAATTGTATGCCTTTCTTTTCCAAAAATGTTATAGATTTGGGTAAAAATCCGAAATTCGATTTAATAAATGCCAAGTTACACTGTAGGTTATTCTTTTCCAAATACTTTTTGGCTGTCTTAATTGAAGCGGCATCATCGCTATCAAATGTTTTTATAACTGTTTGAATGTTCTCTAAATGTTCGCAATAGTATATGGTAGCATTTATCCAAGTTCCCCATCTTGTTAGTATAGGTTCAGGTGGTAAAGGAATCTCGTTTTTTGTCATATTTAAAAATGTTTTTAAACGTAAGGGAGATTTTCGAAATACTTTTTTCACTGAAGATACTACCTTATCTACTTCCGAAAATTCGTCACGAACTTTTTCAGCGAGCCTGTGAAATGCATGTGCAAGGCAAGTAATATGAATAACTTTTGAATAAAGTGTTTGTATAGCTTTACCCGCCTTAATCATATAAGGGGCTGCATCGCTTACAAACAATAAAACATTGTCATGTTCGACTCCTTCAGGCCACAATATCCCCATAGCTTTATCAAATAATTTAAATATTGTTGAATGGTTGGTTTTGTCAAGTTCCTCGGAATGCAATAAAAATATTTGACCGGCGTTATCAATTTCTAATGTTCCGATAATAACATTTGCTACAAAACGCCCAGTGGCGTCCGTAGTTTCATCAATTGAAACCCAGATTCGTTTTCCGTTTACAATCGCCCTAATTTTTAAAATAGTCTCTTGGTAAATATCGTCAACGTAACCTTTACGAAGTGTTGTTTCACTAGGTATATCTTCATTCGTGTATTTTTCAAAAAACCATTTAAATTCGTTGTTTGATAATTTATTTAGGGGAATATTTGACGAAAGCAAAGCCTTACACAAATCTTTGTTGAAATTATTCTTTTTGCCTAGGTTGGTGTTTAAAACAAACTGCTGGTTTACCTTATTTATTTTATTTTCTTCCCGTTTAACTGCTCTATTATGCTTGTCAGTCCTTAGATGCTGGACAACATTGAAACGTTTGTCACTCCCAACTTTTATTTCGCAAAATTTACAAAACAAAACACTACCGTCAGACGAAAATGTGTCTTTAAATTCTAAAACATAACTTTGTAACTTTGATTTTTGTACTTTCGGCATTTTAACAGTTACTTTAGGTTTATTTACATTTATTTACGAACTTATTGCGTATAAAAATCTACACTACAGTGAAAAGCACACGAGAGGCGAAAACAACGACGGATAATAATCGACTAAACTGAAATAATAACTATTATCGGCTATCAGTCTATCGAGCGGGCGATACGGTCGATACGGTTTTATAGGATTAATAATTATCTACACAAAAGTTACAACGAGATATGAATGGTAGTTTCCAGATAGCATATTATTGCAAGTATTAATATATTTTTTTTTTCGATCTATCATATTTCGATTCAACTCATGCAGCAGTCAACGTGTTAACTATCTATAATTTAAAAAAAATTTGCCAAAATATGCAAAATAAGCATAACAATTTTAAAATATGCACTTTCCTGCAAAATCTATCAAATATGCAAAAATATGCACATTTAAATTTTAGATCTGATATCGTGGCACCGAGAAATGAATTTATTTCGCACTCTGCTATATTTAACAATAATTAAAAAAAGTATGCAAATGCTACAAGTCCCTAAGCCTACATATAACTAATCTAATAATAATAATATTTTTCTTAGGCAAAACAATCGTTTACTGAAACTACTAAAACTGTACCAGTAACAGTACCTGAAACAATAAATAAAAAAAATGATATTTTACATTTTGATAAAACTCTTGTTAAGGTAAATAATTATTTTAGTATTAATTTACGTACATTGTTTACTATTCTAATAATAACATGACTGTACTTATTATGTTATTGCTTTTCTAGGTATCTTCAATAAGTGATGTGGAATTAGGTGTGTTTCCTTTGGATGAAACATCTACTTTGTCAAAAGTTAGTAGTTATATTAAAATTAACAAATGTAATATGCAAAATAAAAATGTTTCGGTAATGATAGTATTTAAATTTAAATTTAAAATTAAATATCTTGTGTAGACATTTTTATTTAATATTTATATATTTCCATACTATGTATTTTATAATAGTATAATATACCTATTTTAATTTTTTTAGTTGCCTATACAAAATATAGAAGCCAAAGAGGTACATTCAGTGAATCAGCCATCAACATCTTCATTTGATTCTGACAAATTTGATGAAAATATGATGGTAATATTGCTTCTCGCTGTATAGATGCTGACCTCTCATTCATCACCTCTCAATAGATGCCCCGAACCTTCTGTCCTCTATCTCTTTCCGCCTACTTAACAGCTCCTGATCTGTAGCTAACTATGTTATTATTTATCTCTACTGAATATTTGTTTCTTTAGTTTTATTTTACCTTAGCATGTACTCTTTTTAATTGAACACTGTTTAGTATAAGTTTAAACTTAAGTCTATAATTATAACTATGTTTTCCATGTATATTATTTCATTATCATCATCTCTTATTAATCTACTAACTATTACAATGTATCTATAAATTGCCGTTTGGCGTTAAATAAATAAATAAATATGAATTGTTAAATTAAAATATATGTTGAAATTATTATTATTACTGTTTACTATTATTAATTTTATTTAGAACAAATCTGAAGCTGCATTAATGGCTGCCAGTGAGATCGCTATTGATGACACACCACGTCGTATATGTTTGAAACGTAGCGTTCGGCAACTCTCCAAAGAGATAGTTATAAAAAACAAGAAATTAAAGAGTTTACAACAAACCATACGACGAAAAAATAAAAAATTGCCAATATGCAAACCATAATTAATGACATCAAAAATCAAAATTTTGTTGATGAAGAGACTAGTGTTTCACTTTTAGAATCTTTTGGTAAGCACAGAGATCTTGTTACTAATTGGACAAAAAAAAATTTGGGTAAAAAAATTCCCAAAAGGTATAGTCCTGCTGTTCGCCAATTTGCTTTGTCTTTGCACTTTTTTTCTGGAAAAGCTTATGAGTATGTCAGAGATCAATTTAATACAATATTACCTCATCCGCGCACGCTTAGCAAATGGTATAGTCATTTCAATGCTGAACCAGGCTTCACAATGGAATCGTTGAAACTTTTAGAACTGAAAGTGAGGAATTCATCAGATCCTGTGTTCTGTGCATTAATAATGGATGAAATGGCAATACGCCAACATCTAGAGTATGATAGAACTACTGGTAAATATTATGGTAGAGTTGACATGGGAAGTGGAATAGATAATGACAGTTTAGCAGTAGCTAAAGAATGTTTAGTTTTTCTAGTTGTTTCTATTAACGAAAATTGGAAATTGCCAATTGGTTACTTTTTAGCAAATAGTTTGAACAGTGCACAAAAAGTAGAGCTTGTTCGTCATGCATTGCATGTGTTGTCTAACACTGGTGTCAATATTATTAGTTTAACATTTGATGGCTGTTCCTCTAATATAACTGCTGCAAAGCTTTTAGGTTGTAACTTTACAGTTGATGCATTAAATACTTCATTTGCTTCCGAATATGATGACTCGAAAATTGTAGCAATATTTGATCCAGCACATATGATCAAATTGGTCCAAGCATTTGGTGAAAAGAAAATATTCTTGGATTATGAAAATAATGAAATTAATTTTGAATATGTTCAACGTTTATGTTACTTACAGGAGCAGGAAGGATGTCACCTAGCTAATAAATTAAGAAAAAACCATATACTATTTTTTAAACAGAAAATGAAAGTAAAACTTGCAACTCAACTACTAAGTCAATCAGTCGCAGACGCACTTAAATTTTGCAAAGATACTCTTAAAATTCATGAGTTTAGTAATGCAGGTGCTACAATTTCATTTATTGAGATGTTTAATAAGGTGTTTGATATATTAAATAGTAGATCTATCAATTGCATTGAATCCAAAAAAGCACTTTGCAAAGAAAATATTGAAGAAATTAAATTGTTCACAAATCATTTCTGTACTTATATCAAAGGTCTTAAAATCTTAGAGAGTGATAATAATTTTATACCTGTACTTGAATCTAAACGTAAAACTGGTTTTATAGGTTTCATTGTTTCTTTAAATAGTTTATTGCAATTATACTCAACATTAATTGAGTCTAATAAACTGTCATATATTAAAGCTTATAAAGTAAGTCAAGACCATTTAGAAATATTCTTCTGTAGTATTCGCTCCCATGGTGGGTTCAACAATAACCCAACAGTAAGACAGTTTCGCTCTGCCTATAGAAAATTAGTTATACGAACCACTGACATGAAGCAATTTAATACTGGCAATTGTATACCTTTAGAAGACATCGATATTTTACATTATTCTAGTTCAGATCCAGTCACAGTATTAAATAACAATTCAACAAATATAAATTCAGATAAAATTGTGGAGGAAGAAAATTCACAAAATATAAATTCATTTATAATGGATCATGACTATATTGTGAGTAATAGTGATTATTCTTTTAGTTATTTTTCAAAAGAAGTTATAACTTATGTAGCTGGATTTGTAGTTCATAAACTTACCAACACACTTAAATGTAATAACTGCAAATATGCATTGTGTGCTACTGATAAAGCATGTTTTTTAAACTCTTTTATTACTCTAAAAAATAAGGTTGGTGATAGAGGTGGTTTAATTTACCCAAGTGACAGCGTCATGAATATTTGTTTCAAAACTGAAAAAGTATTAAAAAAATACAGCTATAGGATTAAAGCAGTCAATAAATTACAAATTCAGTCAGAAGTCTTAACCCATTTTTTATACAACTCAAACTTGTTTGCATCATTAAAAACTCATAGTCATGAAACAAGAAGTCCATTAACTGATCACATAACTTTATTAATAAAATCAATTACATCAACCTACGTTAATTTAAAAATTGATTACACTTTAAAAAACCATAACGAAACACCATCACTAAGAATGTGGTATAACAAACTCACGATTTTTAAAGGACAATAACCTTCTTTTCTTTGTAAAGTGTTGTATACATATTTTGTATTAATGTAATAACAACTAATAAACACATTGTATTATAAATAAGTATGGTTAAAAAAGTTAATAAATATTTTACAGATTGAATTTTGTATTTGTATTTATTTATAAACGCCAATCGGTAATTTTATGATTGTATTTGAATCTGAAATTTAATATATTAGTTGGTAGTAAATATTTATTATACACAGTAAAAAAGAATATATAGAAAGAGTAGTGGCGGTTTTGATAAAACATAAAAGGGGGGCTATTTTCTATTTTTGGGCCTCCCCACCATAATTAAAGCAATTCGATCATTTAGTGTAATTTCATTTGAAAAAAGGAAATACAAAAAAAATCTAAGGGGGCGGGGGTGGGGGTGAGAGCCCCCTTCGCCCCCACCCCCCTAAAAACCGCCACTGAGAAAGAGCAGATAGGATTTTAAATTATTCCTGACATATTTTGTTTCATAATTTATTGTAACATTGTACATTGTACATAGTAACATTATGGTATATCTTGAATTATGATACAAAATGACGAGTACAATTTTTTGTATTTTATTGGTGGTGACACTGATTATTATCCACAGTTTCCGCATCACTATTCAGTGGAAACGGCCTCTCTATATTACTCTATGGTTCATACTCGTCGCAACTACCGCTATCATCCCTGCCTTCATCATTACCGATCCAATTTGCCTGTTGAAAATCTTCATTTGATGCTTTTGATTGTTTTAACCATTTTTGTTTTCCACGCCTTGTATTTTCTGCACTGTTGCTGTTTCTGCACAATTTTCTTGCAATAAAAAGATTTGTAACCAACTCCAAAAGCAGTACCACTTATCCTTTTCGAAACTAAATCATTTGATGTCCTTGCTTCCTCTTGAAGTAACTCCCTTTTAGCTACCTCATTCTTTGAACAAAATCAATGTCGATTTTATCGTCTGATAGTGTTTCAATTGCTGTGACAACTACATTATAAGAAATTGGTAGTGATATGCTATAACAAACATAATAACAAACATGCTATAATGGCATCACCAATACGGCATCCAGCTGATTTTTTCAGTCTCAGTAAATCATCAAAACGAACTAGAAACTTTAAAGTGAGCATTCTTTTTAATAAATATAATTTACTTGATGTACTTTTTGGTTCAAAATTTGAACACAAGTGGTTCCATATCGCTTTATCTATTCCTCCATCCTTCACATACTCTAATGAGAATCCACAATACATTGCACTAGTAATGATATTGCAGTACTATCATTAGCTAAACATTTTTGCATACTTGATGCGTCTTTTCATATTTCTTCAGTTAAACAATCATGTTCAGCAAATCATGTTTTCTTAATAACACTTCCACTCTAAATTTCCAGTTTGAAAAATTATGTCTAGCAAACTGAATGATGCCACAACGTTCCTCGATGCCTGGGCCCATAACTTATTACTTCAATACTAATAATACATGAATAAAAACAATTTAAACTAATTGATTTTTTTTTTATTGAATAGGAAGACACAGCTATACGATCACATGAAATAAAGAGTGTGTAACATACACACACACACGCTCAAAACCTAACCTACAATATATTTGTTGGGCTGTTATGTAACACATATTATATAACAAATTCAACCATATATATCAAGTTTAACAATTATTGTTGGAAATAGAAAACATTTTAATAAATCCATTAACGATGATAATCTATATAAATACGAAGATAACGAGTTGTTTATAACGAATAGTCAATATAAATTCTCATATTAGGTTAAACTAGCTTGCCCGTATTACTCGTTGTGTTTGGGCAATATTTTACTTTTATACTTACATCAAATGGAAAATAACGTTAAACTTAAATCCTCTGAGAGTATCAGGTCACTTTCCCTTCCATATTATATTTATATTATAATGTTAGAATTTGTAAATTATTTTGTAGTCAGATATTCATAAAAAATTAATTTTTATAAAATATAAAAACATTTAATCTATAGATCACTTAAAGATTTGAACATTTAATACGAATTTAGGTTTAAATATAATATATAAATACCTTAATATGTAATATCTTAATGAATACATCTAAAATACTAAAGATTATAATATCAATATAGCGTTTAACACGTTCAACGCCGGTGACGACGCGTAGTCGTCATACGATGTCGGGCGCGCCCAGCCGATGACAACCCGTAGTCGTCATATCACAATTGTTTCTGTGTGTCCTATAAAATCGTCGGCTGATGGCGAACGATTATTATATTTAGCACGGCCATACTGTATAAGTATTAGAACAACAACAAACAGCTGGTTTCGGTTTCCCGCATAGACCTTGTACTCATAGACGGAGCATGGGTATAGTTCCAGCGGTCAGACGTGAGTGCGCTGTTCGACTATTACTCAATTACTACGCACATGCGCAATAGAATTTCAGGTTGGGCGATCGGTTGTTGTTTTCTAAAAATCATTGAATGATAACGGATTGATAAGATAACGTTTTTTTTTTTAACTGTTCTGGATAGCTTCTGGAATTCTGGATGTATGAATAAGTTATTACTTATTATAATATAAATTAAAAATTATAAAGTTATTTAATTATTAATATTTTTATTTTTATTAATAATGGTTATAAAGTGTGTTGTTTGTGACGTTCAGTTCAAAACAAAAACTGAAAAAAATTTCATTCTTAAGTTATAGGTATTTTAGAAAATACCCAAAAATTTAGATTTCTTCATTTTTATTATTAATATATTTTACTATATGCAAATATTATGTTAAATTTACTTCAGATTTCCTAAAGATGAATTACGTAAGGTCCAGTGGAAAAAAGCATGTGGGCTAAATTTGTGTTTATCTTCATACAGGGTATGCTCTGATCATTTTTGGCCTGAAGATTACGAGTTAAATGGGCTTCTAAAGAAAGATGCTGTTCCCTGGTAATACTTTATATTAATATTTTGATTTAAAAAATAATAATGTAATGTGAGTTTACTTTATTGCTTTTAGTAAAGAAAATAGATTGAATAAGAGCGATACAATAATGACTCCAGAAGAAAATAAACCTGATGACTATTTAACAATAGATCAGCCTCCTGTGTCTGATATCTGTGTCACTCCTAGGTAAAATTTAACATTATTTTAACATTGCATTATTTTATTATATACTTAATATGTCATATTATGCCATTAGGTATATGTAATAATAATATTATAGGTATAACTACCTATATTATATTGTGTCTATAATAAAATATTATAAGTTATGTTAATTTCAGAAAGCATAATTTGGATGATGTAGATCATTGTTCACCATCTCAATCATCACCAAGTGTAAAGAGGTGTAGACGTTTAAATCCAGACACCATAGGAATATTGTCTCCTACTCATTTTAGTACGCCAAAACGTACTAAACGGAATATACAAATGGTAAAAGATAAATACAGACGAAAACAAATTGAAAACCACAACCTTAAAAAGAAAGTACAAAGACTTAATGCAAAACTCAAGACATATGATGAATTAATTGAAAAATTACAACATAAAAACTTACTTTCTGAAAATGCTTCTTCTCACCTTCAAGTATTGTTATAGATTATTATTTAATACCAGTCATGAGTAAAATACTTTTTAAAAGTACAGTCAAGTCGTGATTACTCGAAGTTGAAGGGGAATAACATTTCTCTTTGAGATATGTATTATTCGAAATATCCAACTAATTAATAGGAGAATAATTTTCTAGGGGAATTAAAAAAAATTCGAGTTGTCAAGTTACCGAGTATTGAGTTATTGCAACTCGACTGTATTTAGAATAAATACTTGAATACTTTTGAAAAATAGTATTCCGAATATGTATTTGAATATATCATACAAATAGTATTCTGAATAAAGTATTTAGAATACTATAAAACTATTTTAAATACTTTTAAAATATTTTTAGTATTAGATATTATAAAATAATAACAGCAGAGCGACACCCACTTGCCCACCTTTTTGTATATTATTATATAATTGTATCATTATTATATTATATTATGTTTAAATATATTATTTGTAAATTAAAATTATTAATATATTTAAGTTTTACAAAAAAGTTGTGTGTGGTTATAAAGTTCATTTTTTTTTAAACATTGCATTATTAAAATATTTTCAATTTTCAATAATGGTTAATATTTGATTTAAAACAGTCATTTGGATCTGATACACTGCGTTCCTTGGTTGAGCGTAAAATATTGGGACAGAAAATACCTTTTACATCAGAACTGAGAAAGTTTGCCATAACACTTCAATTTTATTCCAGTAAAGCTTATGAATATGTTAGAAAAAGTTTTAAAAATGTACTTCCTCACCAAAAGACGATAAGTAAATGGTATAAAGTAGTTAATGGGGAACCTGGTTTTACTAGTGAAGCATTTCGGTGAGTTACCTACTAATCCTGTATACTAGACTTAATATTAAAAATGAATATTCCATATTAAAATGTTATTTTAGTTGTATTGAAGCTAAAGCCAAGGATCAAACAATTATTTGTAATATAGTTTTGGATGAAATGTGTATAAGAGACCATATAGAATGGGATGGTGAAAAAATGCATGGGTTCGTTGATATGGGAGCAAATATTGATGATTGTGATGGTGATAACCTAGTTCATGCAAAAAATGCGTTTTTATTTATGGCAGTAGGAATTAATGGGCATTGGAAAATGCCATTAGGATATTTTCTTATTGGAGGACTTAATGGTAATGAACGTAGTAATTTATTAAGTAATTGCTTACAACTCATGCATAACACAGGAGCAAAAGTCCACTCTGTCACTTTCGATGGTGCTTACTCAAACAGTACTATGTGTAAGTACTTAGGTGCTTCTTTTAGCATGATAAGTAACGATGATGAAAACAATTTTTGTTTCAAAAATCCTTATAATAATGATCCAATATATATTTTCTATGACGCTTGTCACATGTTGAAATTAGTAAGGAACACATTAGGTGATTATAAGTGTATTTTTGATGACAAGGGGCGACCAATCAAATGGGACCACATAACACAATTGCATAAAATGGAACAGGATGAGGGGTTAAGAGTAGCGACAAAATTAACCAACAGGCACATTTATTATTACAACGAAAAAATGAATGTAAAATTAGCGGCTCAAGTATTAAGTAACAGTGTAAGTTGTGCACTTAAATTTTGTCAATCATTAGGTGATGAACGTTTTAATGATATTGATGGCACTTCTGAATTCTGCTCAATGGTTAATAATGCATTTGATATTTTAAATTGTCGAACTAAATATTCAAAGAGCCCATTTAATGTATCATTAGATGAAAAAAGTGCAGACAGTTTTTCAAAATTTTGCATGGAGTTTGAAAAATACATATTTAGTTTGAAGTTGGCAGATGGTAAAAAAGTGGTTGAGAGTGGCAGAAAAACAGGTTTCATTGGCCTAGTTAAAGCTCTAAATAATCTGCTAAAATTATATTATTTTATCAATAACCAATATTCAATTAATTATTTACTGTCATACAAATTATCACAGGATCATTTAGAAACATTTTTCAGCTCTGTGCGTCAAAGAGGAGGATTTAATAATAACCCCACATGCAAACAATTCAAAGCAGCTTATAAAAAAATATTAATTCACAATGAAATTTCTGGGTCACAATATGGAAACTGTATTGCCATTTTAGACGCTACACAAATGTCTGTTGTAAATGTAGGACCAGACAGTGTTATAGACAATGAAACAGAACAAGAACAACTCAGTACAATAATCCCAGACCATGATTATTATGAAGTGTTGCAAAATATTACACCATATGTTGATGATGTAACTTCATATATTGCTGGCTTCATAGTGAAACAATTAAAAAAAAAATAAATTGTAAGACTTGTCATACATATTTGATTGACCAAACAGGGCATTCATCAAAACTAATACAGATTAAGGACAGAAATAATGCATTAATTAATCCATCTCAAGATGTAGTTGAAATCTGTCAAGTGGCAGAGAGAGTTTTTCGATCGTATAATGTATTTTTACCAAATATCAAAAACAAAATGATCAATGAAATTAAAAGAAATATTTATCAAAGAACCATATTTCAAGAATTGAATGAACACTGTAGTGGACAACAATTATTCAACACACATAGGGATCAAGTTATAGCTTTAATAATTATTAAATTTCTAAACTTAAGATTCCACCATGCTGCTTCTATAAAAGAAAAAAAGAAATGTGGATCAATGCGGAAAAAATATACAAAACTTATATTGTTTCGAAATGAATAAAAACAGATTTTTTTTTTATTACTTTTTTATACCAATGTTATTTAATGTTAATTATTTATAATGTATTTAAATATTTCTGAAATAATGTTACCTACTCCTAAAATGTCAAACCGCCTCTATATTTGGTCAAAATCAAATTATAATATAAATAATAGCCCATATTGTTGATTCTTATAGCCATCTGCGATCTGTCCATCTACTGAGTATCACGTATTCACGTCCTCTTGTAATAACATATTCTAAAAATATGCGAATAAACATATTTTCTGTCGTCAGAAATGACAACACTGCTATAATGCTATGGTAATAACTGTGACCGCACCACCCAACCCCGCCAACCGGTGATGCTCCGTCTATGAGTATAAGGTCTATGGTTTCCCTGCATTTTTAAGGTTATAAAACGTGTTTATCAATATGATATGATATAACTGATAGACAATTGTTATTTTTCTATGAAATAAATCATAATTTTCTTATTGTTTTCATTTATTCAATCGTTTTATATAAATCATTATTATTAGTATTGTTCGAGCGCCGCAGCCGATGCATAGCCAATGCGCCTATGAACCGGTCGTGCCGTCCCCCCGCCCGTCTAGCATGCTGTCACCGATAAGTGTTAACGCACGTCCGCCGTAGACTCCGTGAAACGTTGACCTAGTTGGTTACCCAACGACCTTTGTCAACGTACGGTCCGTCGTTGTGTCGTTGCGCTGGCCGGCTTACGGTTAAGCGTTACCTGTGCTTTTGCGATCGCGACTTTATTTGCCGTTCACGCGACGCGTGCCGCTATATTAGCGCCGTAATAATAGTATTATAAAATATCCGTTGCCGTAACCTCCATAGGTTGTGTCTCGCCGCTTGTCTTTGATACGGTGCCCGGTCGTCCGACATAGATTATATTCACGTGCTGTTCGTGCGACCTGTGCTGATATTGTTATACGGCCGCTGTTTGGCAAGCAGCTGTGAATCGCCGGTAATACGCGTGCGTTCGGTTCTGATTAAACCGAACCCACATCTGTAGTCTGTTATACGTCATCTTAGCCGCCGCACCCAGTGACGAGTGCTCCGTGTGGACTCAACCGTCAGTGGTCATATTGTCGCCGTACCTGTTATCAATTCAGAATTGGCAACCACCAAGTGATCGCCAGCGGTCGCAGGAGACGCGCGTAATTATTATCATAATTTCTTGTGTTGTATTATTATTTATCATAATTCGTTGTTGATTATTATTATGTTATTATTTATACCTTGTATTCCTATTGATTGGTACTGAGGCGCCGGTACCGAATCACTAGCGATTGCTTATATTATTATTATTTCTTTTATATTTCATCAATAAATTATTGTATGTGCCTTGCCATACGTGCACGTTATATATCTCAGAGTATAGTTGATGAGGTCATAGTCTGACAATCCTAACATCACATTGGTCCTGGTTTCCTTTAAACTGTTGAATTTCGTTGATGTAGTCAATGAGGCCGACCACTAAAACCGTAGGAGCCTCTTGACTAAACAGTATAATATGAATCCCGAAGTTGGTTCAACTAGGAGTGTTCACACTCAAAAAACTATGAAAACAAATATTTTGTCTGATAGCGAGTTACTCGATCTTTTAGAAAATGATATGTTGTCATCCGACGAAGATTTTGGTTTTGATTCTGATGATGATATTTTTGATGCTGAATTTAATGATAGTGACTCTGAGACAGGTAATTTATCAGATAATGATAATAATAACTTAGATCGTAACAGTTTTGAAAATAATTCGTTGAGTTATAATGTAAATGAATACAATTGGTTCACTGACCCTCCAGTTGTAGAGAATATTCCTTTTATGAGTACAGCTAATCTAAAATGTATACCAGAGGGAAACCAACCGATTGATTATTTTAATTTTTTATTTTCGGACGAATTGTTAGACCATCTTGTAAAAGAAACAAATGCGTATGCAGTTGATATTTTTCTAACTAATGCTTCTGTAAATGCGCGAATTTGTCATTGGACAGATACTAATAGATCAGAAATAAAGATATTTTTTTCATTACTTTTTCATATGGGTACAATAAAACTTAGTAGAATAGAAGATTATTGGAAGACAAGCGTTTTATTCAACATCCCATTTTTCCGCAAGCACATGAGTCGAAATAGATTCATGTTGTTACTTAGGGCTTTACACTTTTCTCGAAACACTCAAGAAGGGGAACTAGCTCCTAGAAATAGATTATATAAAATTCAGCCAATTGTAGACTATTTTAATTCAAAAATGAATGAAATCTATGAGCCATCAAAAAATTTATCGATTGACGAATCAATGGTGTTATGGCGTGGGCGACTGATTTTTCGCCAATATATTAAAAATAAAAGGCACAAGTATGGTGTAAAGATGTACATGCTAACTGAACCGTGGGGGCTTATTCATAGAATTATGGTGTATTCTGGGCAAGGACAAGACGTATCTGAAGATTCCACTCATACAGAGTTTGTGGTAGAAAAACTTATGGATGGTTTATTGTACAAAGGTAGATCATTATTCATGGACAACTTTTATAATAGTGTGCAATTATCTAGGAAATTATTGTCTAAGAAAACATACGTAATAGGGACTTTACGGTCCAATCGAAAAAATAATCCTAAAGATGTCATTGAAAAAAAACTAAAAAAAGGTGAAAGTATATGTAGATATACAAATGATGGTATTTGTGTAGCAAAATGGAGGGACAAACGAGACGTATTAATGATAAGTTCAGAGTTTCCACATGAAATGAACGAAATTACTACAAAAAAAAAGAAGTAAAGATAAAGCCTATTTCAGTAAAAAAATATAACGAAAACATGTTCGGCGTAGATAGGCAAGATCAAATGTCCGCATACTATCCTTTTGAGAGAAAAACATTAAGATGGTATAAGAAAATTGGTTTACATTTTATGCACTTATTACTGATAAACTCATATTTTTTATATAACAAACCTGTAAAAAAAACATCATTGTATGACTACAGGCTTTCAGTTATACAAGGGCTATTACCTAAACAACAAAATATTCAAATAAATACTAAAAAAAGAAATTCTGAAACTCATTTACCAAAAAAAGTTCCAAAAAATAATAAAAAAAGGTATATGTACAAAAGGTGCAAATATTGTTATGCTCAGGGAATTCGAAAGGATACAATCTATTTTTGCAATGAGTGTCAAGACCAGCCTGGATTATGTTTAGATAGTTGTTTTGAAGATTTTCACAAGTCAATTTAAGTTTATTTGTTCAATTGTTTTAATTATTATTATGATTTTTTTTTAAGGATTTTTATTTTTTATGTATTGAAGGTACAATACTATTGTGTTATTATTATATTATTAAAGTTTTCGAAGTTTCGGAGAAAGTTGTTTTTATATAATAAAATATTTTAAAAGTCAATAAAGTATTATTATAATATCGTATTATATTTTATTAGTTTTTATGAAATTTACGAAACATGACGACACGTAATCGTCATCGGCCATTAGGTAGTATAGTATATGACACATGGCCGATGACGACGCGTGGTCGTCACGAGTGTAATGTTATCAATATTTACGCGGCTGGGTGCGCTTGACCTCTGAAATTGACACGGACGTGAACGTGTTAATAATAATATATTATAATAGTAAATCTTTAATTCTTATTACATTTTACTATCTGTGTTAAAAATAATCTGTATCATTAATATTATTATTATTTTTATTTTATTTTTCAAGATAATGGGCCTCACTGAACATGTTCGTGTGGGGGCCCAAAAATATAATATAGTTATTGCTGTAGAATGGCTTATAGCTGTATTTGTATTGTACAAATATAAAAATGTGATAACAATAGCATCACTGTATGTCAATGTGTCTGAATCAAATTTTGTGGATTTTGGTATATAAAATATTTTATAATTTATGACGGATGACTCCTTGTTTGTACATGCACGGTCAAAATGTATGTTTATTGTAAGTATAAATTATAAGTGGCAAGTTAAAAAATGGTGAGTATTTATTTCCATGTACTTTTACTTAGGATTATTATGTTTCTACTATCTAGACATATAAAACAGTCATAAAAATCATCTTATATATATATCATTTTAATATAGAAAAAAACCATTATCGATCAGAATATCGGTCTACATCTATGGCAAATATACTTAACTAATAACTATGTATAATTAATTTGTATTTATTTTAGTTGTAAATGAACCTGATAAGGACCAAATAGAGTTAAACAAAGACAGCGGATTCAACGTCTAATATGTCAGAAGAGGAAAATTAACCGCATTGTGTAACAGATACAGGTATGCATACAAAATTGCTTACATTTGATTCTGTTACATGTAATTATATTCCTTAATAAATATTTCACTGTAGGAATGTGTCCATTTGAATTCGTTGCACAGGCTTTGGGAAAACGTGTGTCCGAAGTTGAAGCAGCGGATATATGCAGATACTCTAAAACTTTACGCAGGGCGAACATATACCAAGGTACTAGAGATAGTAATTGTATTCTTCGTCTTCTGACAGGACACAATACTAAAACACAATATGTTGGAGACCTAGTTTACAAACGGATACTAAAAGTAACTCCATTGACAAGCGTAAGTTATTTCGTTTATTCAAGTAAATGTTCATTTGGCATGGAAACAGAGAAAATGATTATATTCTATAAGTTGTTGATGTTAATTATGTTATTGTAGCTATGGCGATTGAAGACTGTGGAAAACGAAAATAATGGTGTTTTGACGAATATAAATAATGTATTAATGTATGTAATGACGTGATGAATGACATTAATGTTGAAGATTTATTGGTAAATACAAGTGATCCAAATGATAAGGAAATAGTTGACACTATTACTACGAACTGTGCACAAAGACAACACGAAAAAGCACATCAACGGAGAAAGAACCTTAGAAGAGGAAAAAAATAACTAACCCACTTGAGTGGTAGAAAAACACTTCCAAAAATAGTCGTATGAAGGGGGAGGTATATGTGGGTTGTAGAAGAGAAAATCCAAAGAACACTAACAAAATAATCAATGACATAATTCGAGAAGCAAGAACTGTGGGTGTTACTCGTAACTCGCCAGTTTGCAAACGTTGGAAAAATAGACTTTGTGATACGATTTCAGAAAACGAAAGACATAATCTATTTCAAAAATTTTGGAAAGAAATGAGTCAGGGCTCAAAAAAAATGTTCGTTTGTTCAACTGTGAAAATTAAAGAAATGAAACAAAAACCAGTTAAAGGTGGTAATTCTAAGAGGGGCTATAGTTCTTTTTACTTTCTACGAGTTAATGGGAAAGAAATTCCAGTTGTCAGTCGCTGTACCTTAATACTTTCGGATTAAAGAAATCTGAAATTTGATATTGACTGGAAAATTTTCGAGGGAAAAACATTCCCAGTATGTTGTATGAAACAGATAGTGATAATGTTCTTGAAAATTAAGATAGCCAAAATGATACTAGTGACAAGCCTAAACGTACAAAAAGTGTCTAATAAGGTTTATTGAATCAATTCTTTGACACTTTGCCCACCCTACCTTCACACTATTGTAGGAAAATTTCAAGAAAGCTATATTTTCAAACAAGTATTAAGTCTTGGACACTATTATATATTATTTTTGTATAACAAAAATACCAGGAAAACGATGAAGTACCATTATCCAGGTATACATTTGACCAAGAAGGAAAGGGACGCAATATCGAAATATATTTACCAAAAAAAGATCGTTGTGATACTTGTACAATGTACGATCTACTCCACAGAAACTGAATGTTTTGCTCTACTGCAAAGTTAATAAAACTGAGATAGTCGGTGTTGCTTCTTAAGCGGCGATTTGCTGTTCCTTCCACTCAAGTCAGTGTTGAGCGACTATTTTCAGGGCATAAATTTATTTTATCCCGCTACAGGAGTAATATAACATCCAAAAGTTTAGAAAATCAATTTATAGTTCTTACAAATAGATTGTTTGAAAAGCAAACAAAAGAGGAAGATTTGCTATACCTACCTAATAAAGTTTACATTTTTATAAGTTTTGTTATTGTTTTGTTTTATTCTTATTCATTATATGATGAATAAGTTATCCTTATCATAAAATATTCGAAGATCATTTGTTGTATTTTAATTTGTATATTATAAATGTTATTGCAATATTGCATTATTAAATATTGTTATTTTTATTAAATTGATTTTATGGATGAGTCACCATTAAATAATAAAAGATAAAATTGTTTGAAATATTTCTATAAGTATTCCAAAATGTTTTAAAATTCACATATCACATATCATTGTAAGGGAAAGAACATATTATTTATAATAAATTATGATATACCTACCCATGAGGTAGACCATAACTATAATCATTTAGCAGACTATTCTAAATGTATAGATCTTAAAAATAATGGTGGTCTAATATCTCCCACAGAAAGTTCATTTAAAGTTGTGTGTCAAACTGAAATATTTCTTTTAATTTTAACTAATAATTTACAAACCCTAAATACACCAAACCTTGACTTGAAAATAACTTCTTTTGTTAATAAAAAATTTGCAATGGATGAAAATATATTTAAATATTTGGAATGTAATAATGTTTTTACATTAGATAGACCCCATAAAATGGTTTTAATTGCATTACTTGTAAAAATATATTTAAGCATAAGATTAAATTCATATGGTAAAATGTATTCCACTGATATTTTAAACCCGATTAGTAACCGCCATAAATTGACGAAACAAATTTTATTTATGAACCAATAATATTGTTTTATCTATATGCGATGTAGTTTATAATATCTAACTATTATTTTTTTTATTGTTATTATTAATAATTTTATTTTAATAAACACAAGGAATTAAGATATATAATTTTTTTTAATATACATAATTTTATGGAAATCGTATTGTACTGATTAAATAAATAAATCACTTGATCATTTTTTTTTAAATGTTATACTTTATTAGAAATCATATTTCTAAGTGTAATTGTATTTGTATTACAATAAATTATCTTATAAGTAATTATAACTCACATTTGTCTTTAAAATTTTTCTTCAAGCACACAGATAAAATAGTTTATGACAATTTCCCTTGCATATAAGACGTATAGGGAAATTGAACTACACAAAACTTCTCAAAAAGTTGAGCAAAATAATAATAATAACTTAAAGTTTACAATATTATATTAATATGTTCATAATGACATAATAATTAATATTAAATAATAAATAATATCACAAATAAACAAAATAACATCGTTCCTTATCAATACCAAAAAACATTAACATTCACCTCTTATATAAGGATGGCGGCCATTTTGTTGGTGACAGAAATAATACCCGAGTCGGCTATCTAGTATTTTTATATATCTGTGGGTTGACCTAATGCCTGTAATGCGTTCATGTTTGAAGTGATATGATGATAAAGTCCTTGCAACTCTGTTGCTGAGGCTATTGACACCTAAGGAGTTTCAAATAACGCTCTTATGTGATTGAATAATTGCGCTTTTGTATTCATTTAGTGACGTTAAAGCATCATATGACTGTTGATATTTTTAATTTGTAGTTGGTATGGATTTGACAATATCACTGATGATTACGAAAATAAAATTTAACACCTTTAAAGATTAGTGGACTGTATTTGTTTATTATAATAATGGTAATAATATACATTTGTAAACATAAAAATGTTTATCAATCACAGCAGTGCACGGTATGATATGAATTACAGGGCTTGTCTAATTGACAAGTCGTAATAATAATGTTAATAAGCCTGCCTGATGACT